TCTTGGTTCTTATTTTTCCCCAGTCCCCTACCCTCCCTTCAACACCTCCAACCCTTCCTATTTACAAAGACTTTGTTTCCATTTTTTCCTTTTTTCATACTTTTTTCTTTCCTTTCCTGCTTTTCTTCTACCCCTCCTACTTCCCTTCCCTGTTTTACCTTTTCTTCATATTTCACATTATTCTATCTATCTCTTATTGTGTTCTTTGTATGTACTTTTACTTACTCAAGTGAGAGACACACATGCTTTTGGTTTGGTTTGTTTTGGTTTGGTTTTTTAAAAAATGAGTTTTCTCTGATTTAGAATATTTTTCAGTACTTAGGATTAAATTCATGGATTTGTACATGCAAGGCAAACACTCTACCACTAAGCTACATCACCAACCATTTTATATTTTGTTTTGAGACAGGGTCTTGGTAAGCTGCCCAGGCTGGTCTTGGACTTGTAGTCCTCCTGCCTCAGCCTCCCATATAGCTGAGATTATAGGTGTAAACCACTGTGTGCAGTGGGTTTAGAAAGTGTGTATTTGCCAAGGTCCTACTTGCAAAGATGTGTCCTTAGGACATAGTATCACACTCAAGTCTCCTCAGGGCTGTAGTGTTGATGGCCTAGGGCAGTTGGGTTAAAGCAAGTGAAATATACCAAAGAGCTCAGTAAACAGGTACTTCCCATCTTTTGTCTCAAGGAGAGAATGGGAACCACCGTCGAGTGTCTGGGAGATGTGTAATGGGTCAACTTACCCATGGAGAAGGGCATAAAAGCTTCACTCTTCTTCAGTGCCCCCTTGGCATCCAGAAAATGATCAGGGTTGAAGGTGTCTGGTTTTTCAAAGTGACGTGGGTCATGGAGAGCAGTGCTTAGGATTGGGAATATTTCAGTGTTCTGAGGAAAGGTTACAGGATCAAAAGGTATTGTTATTCCCTGCCTTCCACATGCCAAAACATAAATAAGTAGATAAAACAAAAGAAAGCTGAAAGAAGCTTTCCCTGTTGAGAAACCAGTAAGAGGTTGAGATGGGAGTTTTGAAAATCAAAGAGGCTCACACAAAGATATGGGAGCCCAGCTAGGCTCACCTTGGGGATGATGAACCCTCGGAAGTGAGTGTCTTTGGTGACCACGTGGGGCACACCAGTGGGTAGGAGGTCCGCAAATCTCTGAATCTCACAGATGACTGCCTCGGTGTATGGCATTTTGGTTCGGTCATCCAAGGCTGGCTGGCGGTGTGAGCCAATCACCTGTTCAATTTCCTTGTGGACCCTCTCTGCACAGAAAAGGAGACAATGAACCCCACACCACAAAGGCACTTCAGCAGTGACCTTGTTTTGTTTGAACCAATGAGCCAGAAAAACCCTAAAGAATGGGTTAACCATTCATACTCTTGAAGCACTCAGCTGTGGCTGAGGGAAAGAGGGAAAAAATCAAGAATACTCACCCTTTAAAATCTAGTAAATATTATGTTATCTCCCCACCTGCACAGCTACACACACACAGACACGTACGCACCCCATAACTTTGCATGGAATTTGTATTAAGAAGTCCAAAACTCCTCCTCTAAAATGAAAAAGAAATGCACTAATACTTATTATTCATGCAAATGGATCACTGGTAGGTCCTAAAAAATACAACAGCGGAATACATCAAAATATTAATCTGTAAAACACTGGATGATAACATGAATTCATCCATCAATCAATCAATGGCTAAATCAATAAATGAAAATACTGATGAATGAATGAGATAAACAAACCAGTGAAATGAATGTATGTATTCAATTTATATGTATGTATTCAATCATATTTGGATCAATGAACCTATTAATACATGGTTCATAAACAAATCAATAAACTACTAATTGATGGTAGCACCACTCCCAGCTCAGAGGAAGAGGTTTCTGGGCCACCATACCATCACTCCCAGTGCACAGGAGGTGAGCAGCGTAGGTGCCTACAGCACACACACACTCTTCACCACCGCCCCCCCATCAAAATGAGAAGAAACATAAATAAGTCACACAACCAGACTTCCAGATCACCTAGAGCAACCCCAAAGGGAAATGAGATGGAACACTCTGATACTCAACCACCTGGACTCTCTGAACTGGCAACAAAAGAGGATCTGGAAAA